CCCCCGCCACCCCCCAGTTCACTTTCTCTTTGGAAAAAAATTTCTTTCATTGTTATACAGTCCCCCTGCAGTCCACTTTACTATGCTTCTCTTAATCTGGACTCTTGTCATGCCAATAATACCTAATCATATATTCCTTTTATACATTTCTTTCTCCCTCATCTGTTACAAAACCGTGTATATTATTTATCCCCTCTTTTCTTAGTTTCCTCCCAACCCCCATATCAGTCCTGTTTTATAACAGTGGTATTATCCAGTGTTTGTCCTTTTATGACTGAGATATTTCACTCAGCTTAATGTCCTCCATGGTTACCCATTTTGTATAATATTTCATGAGTTCCTTGTTTTTTAGTTCTGCAGTTTTAAGAGAGCAAAAGGTTAAGTACTGCATAAAGACTTCAATCTAAATAAACTTTGCTGTTGAGTTAGATTTTAGCAGAAAAGGATAGAATTAACATAAAGATTTTGGAGCATTTAACCCTAGAGTATAAATTCTGAAGGTCAGGGATTTGGAATACAGATTTTCTCAGAGAAACTCTTTCAGGAAACATTGCATTATCTTATAATCACGTTTCATTCTTTTTTATGCTCTAATAATGCATTTGGTATTCCAAATAATAAAATAGGAAAGATAAAATAATTTACATTGAAAAGTCTATTCTCTTGTGCCAAAGTGTGCCCTGATGGTACTTATCCAACAATAATTAAGTACGAGGCTTTCCGAGGTGCCGTTCTTTCAGTACGTTTAACTACCAGGTTCAAACAAACTTGACATAATCTCTCAGAAGGTGTGGTGGCTTCCTTTCTCTACAGCTGCCATAGGTTTGGGAGGCCTTTATAATTGTTGAATAATTTCTATACATTTAGACCCTTTTAATTGTTGTGACTTGAGCTGCTGCTTCTGAAACAGATATAAACCTTTTCTCTTCACAGGTATGAGAAAAATCTCGTGTTTGCCCAGCGATGGGGAATAAGAAAGGGGATAGTGATGGGATTCTTCACTGGGTACTTCTGGTGCCTCATCTTCCTGTGCTATGCGTTGGCCTTCTGGTATGGCTCCCAGCTCGTTCTGGATGAAGGGGATTATACAGCAGGAACTCTAATCCAGGTACTTTGATCTCGGTGACCTCCACATGACTTGTTTTCCCCTTTCTTATAACTCAGCAAAGCCCCCTGATTAAACATGTTGTTTATTCCTTTGGTGTCTGAGGACAAAAAGCATCAATGATTTCATAGTGCTCATCTGCAGCAGCCAGTGATAACCATGCATTTTATGGTAAAGGGATGCTGACTATTTGAACTGATGAGACCAGTAATTTAATGGTTTACAATTAGCTTATGATATTGCGGCTGTAAAACAACACATTTCTAACCACAGTCCAGAAGATAGTACACTGTGAAAATGGAAATTCAGACCTCTGTAGGTGAAAATGAACAGCTCATACAATTGAATTTAGTACCAAAACAAAGTATGTGTCAATGGACATTCTTGTGAAACATGATAAACTACTGAAATATCAAGTCAATAGTATTCTTAACTAAATAGACTCTGACAGCCTAGTTGTAAGAAGTTAAACTGTTGGGGTAAGACTGAGAAAAACTGGATAAATTGTGTATACTGCACTGAAAAAAAAAGTGAACTAGAAGAGGGGAAAGGGTGGGTAAGCGGGTAAAATATGCAAAAATCAGTGAATGAAAATCTAACTTCTCTGTAATTGTTCTTTAAACTCACAAAATAAAATTTTATTTAAAAAAAAAAAGTTAAACTGTCTACTCAAAGGCAGGTGGTTTCAAGCCACTAGCTGCCCCGTGGGAGAAAGATGGGAAATCTCTTCCTGCATGATTAATTGCCTTTGAAAAGCAACCAAAGGGTAATTATGGGTTGGTACCCAACAACAGCAGAGGTCAGTGGGTATATGGGATTGGTGAAGAACTAGCAAAGATTTAGAGGGGACTTGAAAAGTTGGGTAATGATAGGCATAGACCAATAGTAATTTATTATATAAAATACAATACATATGAATGATTGTATAAAAATAATGCCATGAGCAAAACACAATGTACATGAAAGATTGTAAAAAACACAGTTTACAAGCATTAAACATAATATACATGAATTATTGTATGAAAATCAATTAAATTATTAGAAAGGACAATTCCTTGGTAACATTTCTAGGAGACCCTGGCGAGCACAAATGGTTAAGTGCTTGACTACAACCCAAAGGTTAGTAGTTCCAAACCAACCAAAGATACCTTAAAATATAGGACTCACAATCTTTCCAATATGTAACAGCCTTGAAAGTGCTATGTTGTACGTACCATCCAGTTGGAAATGACTCATAGCTGACCTTTAAGCAGGTTTTTAGAGGCAGTAAATCTCACAGGAGGAGACTGTCCATCTTGTTCCCTAGAGCAGCTGGTAGATTTGAACCATCTGCCTTTGGTTTGGTGGTACAACTCCTTACCACTGAAAACGCTGTGGAGCAGTTCAACCCTGCACACATGGGGTCACTGGAGTCAGAATCAATGTTGGCAACAATGACAACAGCAGTGGCAGCAGCAGTGGCAACAACAATGCTTTTCTAGTGAATCAAGTTTTATGGGTTTTTATTGCCAAGGTGGCTATGAGCTGTTCTGTACTGTATGTAAACTACCTGTTCCTTTATCTTAAATACTTAAGTACATTTAGAAATGGCACCTTATGAGGCTCAAACTTAACTTAAACTTTCATAATTAGTAACTTCTTACTCCTGACCTCTCCCTATAAACCTCGATTTACATGTTGAGAAATTTTCCTTTTCCTTTGGGAAAATGAGAGACATCTTTTAACAGTGTTCTCATTGTTCTCTCTCCTTCACTCTCGTAGTGGTGAGTTCTTGGCTGTGCTTTTGAGCAGCAAACTATGAAGGTTCAGTATGCATGAGTTGAGTTTAGTGTTTAATGCACTAAACTAATTAACAATTATGTTAATCTAGCACATTTTCTGATGCACAAAGTCGTTACTGTCTGCATGGTAATTGGGCATAAATGGTAAGTAGTTCACATAAATGACTGTAATTAGTACACTTGTATACAGACAGAAAAACGTTCTGTCATCTTTTGGGAAAAACGATAAAGGGAAGCTGGATGTCACAGAATACTGTTCTTTTATGTCCCTCTTATGGTCGAGAGTTCAAGAAAAAAAAGAAATGACAACAATAAAAGGTAACGTTCATTTAGGGCATACAATGCTCACAAAGTGAGTTGAACATAATTACTACACATAATATTAAAAACTTTTCTTTGCAATTGGTGTCATAATTTTTCTACTTTGAAAAATTAAGTGGCAATTTCTTTGGTGAAGAGACATGCATCAGGTGGTGTAGAGCAGGGGTTTGAACTCAGGTCTTTGTGGTTTGGGGGCCTGACACATGAAGTACAGTTTTCCTGCCTTTGTATGTGTCTTCCACGGGAGCGTGGGCATTTCCTCTCCAGCAGAGGCCAACCACAAGTTGTTCCAGAGCAGACTCTCTTCCCCTTTCTTTTCTCACATGACTATTCCATGCTACAGTCCAGTTTTGGTATAAAACAATAATCTTTCAGAAATGTATGTTAGCTACTATGACAGCATTACGAACATGACTCGGTCCTTTGTCACTCGTTTCTCCCCTCAACACTCTCAGCAATAATTGCAATTGAAATCATAGCTCTCTAAACCAGGGGAACAAGGTAAAACTCCAGGCTTATTTTAGACCTCCACACAGAGTTTGACAAACTCTGGCTGATCAGCCAAATGCAATTGGCTACCTGTTTTGTATAAATAAAGTTTTAGAGAGACACAGTCATGTGTTATTTGTTTACAAATTATCTATCGATGCTATTTTGCTAAAGTTAGAGAGTAGAATAGTTGCTTTTGGAGAGCTCAAAAGGCCCTTGTGGAGACTGGTCACAAAAAAAAAAAAAAAGAAGTGTTTATGAGCTTCTCACTATTTCTCAAGTGTGGGATCTTGCCACTTACAACATCATCATCATTATCATAGTTATTATTTAATGAACACATTTATTCTAGAGAGGGTTAAACCAGGCTGCTCCTTGGAGACAAAGATTCTGAAGCTTTGTCTGACATACTTTGGACATGTTGTAAGGAGGGACTGGTCCTTGGAGAAGGACGTCATGCTTGGGAGTGTGGAGGGACAGTGCAGGAGGGGAAGACCCTCTATGAGGGTGACTGGGATAATTGGGATGGGTGTGTCAGAGGCAGTGTGATTAGCACAGGATAGAGCAGGGTTTAGGGCCATTGTACATAGGGTCGCTATGAGTTGCAGGCAACTCGACGGAAGATAACAACACAACAACAACAGTTATTATTTATGTATCAGGTACTAGATGAATACTCTTCACATACAACAATCACATTTAAATTTCTTGACAATCCCAATGTCTTTGAGTCAATTCAAACATGTAGAGTTTCTTATGAATGGGGAGGAGACTGCCTCTCTTTCTCTTGTGGAGCAGCTGGTGGATTTGAACCACTGAATTTTCAATTATAAACTCCACATTTTATGCACTACACTATTAGTGCTCCTTCAACCTCTGAGGCGTACACCATTATTGTCCTTATAGCATGTATAAAGATATTAGAGTTTAGGAAAAATAAGTACTCTGCCATTGTGAGATACTGTCTGCTATAATTGAGAAGAAGGAAAAAGAAGGGCAGAAAAAAAAAAAAAGACAACGTTGTCTGCATGTATAACCTGGAGAGTTCAGGGAGATAGTGTGAGAGGGCTGGCTCACAGCCTGTGTGGGACTTACACTGGTCTTGTTAATCACTCTGACATCAGGCTTACTGGAGAAGGGATGGAGATACCTGAGAAGGGCTCCGAGAAGGCCCATGCTCCAGCCATTCTCACCACAAAAAGAAAGACAAGAAAGAGAGTGGAGAGGAGGCTGTGTGGGGAAGCTGATGTAACCAAGAAGGCGCTGGCTGTGGAAACCGCCATAAACTAAGATCATCTGATTATCTGGAAAAGATCACATCCATGTAGGAATCAGATTTTTAGCTCAGTATTCAACTCTAGTCCCCAAGACATTGTAGCTAACAATGTCCTTATGAGCCATGTAACCAGGATGCGGTTGACAGAGTGAGGAAGTGGGTGCTGTATTCCTTGTGTTGGAGGCAGCCTGAGGCTCTGCATGGCCCCTTCCTCAGCTTTAGAATCAGCTCTGACAAAATAGCGTGCTGTGCAGTAGGAACACCTGGCTATGAACTGTATTGGTGATTCAACGGAAAGTTCTCCCATCTCTTCACAGGACCTTGACCATTCCTTCCGCATGTGCCCAGCAATAGGTGCATATGGAAGCTCAAAAGAATGGCAGTAAAGGGCCAGCGTTCATATCCCATCATATTACATGTTGTGATGTAGGGCAACTTAGGTAACTGCCGTATACATCTATTTCCTTTTCTGTTTTAATGATATAGCGAAGTCATAGGGGCAAACACCTAGTATCAGAAATTGTTTTGTTATTTATTAGTAGTATAATGACAGTATTCCTAGTGAGAACAGTGACTAGCCTAACACATGTGCCAATCCCTGGGTAAGTCAGGGTGACTTAGTGTCTTTATTTTTTCTCTCTTTAACTAGAAAAGCACTGGAAGACTGTTTATATAAAGAATTAAATGAATATATATCAATATTCTAATAAGCTGCCTTGCAAAGACCTCAATACTCGTTATGAAGCATGCTCTTCCTTATCGATGAGTAACATTCAGTCAAAAAAAAAATTCATTACTTTAAATCAAAACAATGGAAAATTTTGGAATGTTTTCTAGGACAAAACCTCCAAATAGCCAGCAAGTCCTGTAGCTTTCCGATGCCTATGGAAGAATATTTCTGAGCAGTTTGCATTCTTACAATGGCCTAGGTGCTAGTGGCGCTACTTACAAATCCAAAAATCTCAGGGAAACTCTACCTCTTGTCATTTCAGATTTTTCTGAGCGTCTTAGTAGCAGCTTTAAACCTTGGCAATGCATCTACTTGTTTGGAAGCCTTTGCAACTGGACGTGCAGCTGCCAGCAAGGTTTTTGAGACCATAGACCGGGTATGTAAGAGTCCAAGTAAAATCCTTAAGGGGTTGACGGGTAGGGTTATGAACTCCTGAAGAATTAAAAATAAAGAAAAAAGAGCAGTAGCACAATACTCTTTATTCAGATTGACTAATTAAATGTTTTCATGAGCTTGACCCAGTTCTAAGAGCTGAGAATGCAACCGTGGACCAGAACAAATAAGGAATAAGGCCCCTGCTCTCTTACTCAGGGAGTCAGAGTGGTGCAAATTGTTCATGCACTCATCTGCTGACCAAGCTTTGCATTCACCCAGAAATACTTTGGAAGAAGGCCCTCCACCGCCCCTGACCCCTGCCTGCAGGGAAAAAAAATATTATTAACCACTGAAAACCTTTGAACCCACAACCTTAGGCCCAAAGTAGCCCTGAATCTTCTGAAAACCAAAAATAGTTTAACTGTTGTTGTGTGCCATCCAGTCGGAATGGATACATAGCTGACTTGCATTGGGTTTTCAGAAGCCTATAATTTGCACAGAAGATTGCCTATCTTTCTTTGCCTTTGGACTTGGCTGCCCATTTTGACCGCCACCAGGTTCTACCTTATGTAGTATTATCCTCTTTTAAAAACTATCAATATGAGATAAAATTGACAACAAGAACTCAAGAGAACCTTGAGGGGTCAGTGAATTTATGTTCCTAGGTGGGTGGTTGGGAGGAACTCAGAAAAAGAGAGAGAGAATAGTTGCACAATTTGAAGAAAGTAATCAGTGTCACTGAATTTGCATGTAGAAATAGTTGAATTGTTGTATGTTTGATTATAATTTGTTACATTCTCAACAATGCCGCAGAAAATAATACAACTTTTTAAAAAGAAAAGAAAACGCTTTGGAGCACAGTTGTATTTCTGATGCCCATGGGTCATCCTTGTGTCAAGGTGGTTGGTCAGTGGTGTCTGGGAGGCTACTGCAGTGAGGTTACTGGCGGTAGAGACCTCCTGGTGAATTCAAGGAGCTAAAAGAAGGTCACTGTGACACAACAGAGAGAGCAAGGGGCAGAGGCTGGAGGGATTAGAAGGGGCTAATTTTACAGGACTTTAAGATCAAGTTCATAAAACGATTATCTCAAGTGTGGCAGTCTCCTAAGTTTATGAAGGCCCTGGCAGGCTGGTTAGAATTTTCTATTGTATCACACTTGAAGTCAAGTTGTTGTTTGCCATCCAGTCAGGACCAACTGATAGCTGACCCTTCAAAAGGTTTTCCATGCAAATTGCAAGGGAGGAGATTTCCCATCCTCCTGTGGAGCAGCCGATGGATTCAAACTGTGTGCCTTCGGGATTACAGCACAGCTTCTACCCTAGACCAAGTTGGAAATTGAGTCAGTGACTACAAATCCAGCAATAGAAGTGGAGAGATGATGATACACTCTTTTCCTCCCTGAAAAAAAAAAATAATTAGTCCTAGCCTAGAGAAGTATTTGCTAGGGCTCCGAAACCATGAGTATTTCTGCCGAGCAATGGTTTCTCTTGCATGAGGACACTCTTCAGCACTTTATCTGTTTTGTACTTTAGAATTTGGGGAATTATTTTGTCTTTTTGAAAAAAAGAGAAAAGATTGTTGAAGCATAAAAATATAGAACTCCCAAAATTCTACCTCATTCTTATTGTTGCTATATTCTCAAATAAAAAGATTCTAAAAGAATCTCTAACTATGAAGTAAAAAAAAAAAGGCATGCGAAATTATTTCAATATCTTTGTAAAAGCTCCAAAATTGTATCCCAAGTAGAGCCCTGATGACGACTTTCTGGAAGCTAGAGGTGATCTTCTCCCTTGTCTGACTAACTAGATGTTTTGTCTAGCTAAACTTAATAACACAACAAGCTGAAACTGAGCATATAAATGAGAAACTGGTAGTGTTGAAAACATCGCTTGCAGAAATGAGAGTTTAATCATCTACAATGAGCAGTCAGATGAGAAGTACTAGTGGACCCCAACATAGTTCATGAGTTAGATAATGAGTTAGTTTAAGAGGAGATACTTAACTTTCCTGAGATTTGATTTAACAGGAAAATGGACTGCCTAGTTAAATATGTTGATGTTTAAAAAAAATTAAAAAGCATGTTAAAACCCTTTTGTCTTTTATGTGTAGTAAGATCTCACTGAATTATAATAATATATGTGGTTGCTGATCAAAATGTTGATGTTTCAAACCCACTCATGAGGCTCAGAGAAGGAAGACCTGTCTACTTTCTTCAAGATTCCAGCCAAGAGAAGGCTGTGACATCATTCTACTCAGTCACAGGGGGTCACTCTGAGTTGGAACTGACAATACTCAATAACAGCAGCGGTATTATTACTATTGTTGTTTCTCTTATGCACCATCGAGAGTTGGTACTGACTTGATGGTAGCTGACCTTCCAGCAGGTTTTCATAGGCAGTAAATTGCACGGGAGTTAATTGTACATCTTGCTCCCACAGCCTTGTGTTGACAGCATGGCTCTTTACAACTAAGCCATCCGAGTTTATTATTACTATTAGAAACAAGTGTTTAATTTGACAGCAACTTACCCATAGCACAGGAAGCTCTGGTGGTCTAGCAGTTTAGGATTATGCTACTGATCCTTGAGACACATGGTTCAAATCCACCAGCTGCTCCACAGGAGAAAGATGGGCAGGTAATCTCTGCCTATACACTTTATACCCTCTGAAAACTCACTGGAGGGTCAGCTATGAGTCAATTCTGACTCAACAGCAGTGAGCTTACTATCTGTAGCATCTCTATAATGTTTGACGTGGTTGTTTTTACAATTTTTTTCAGTAAATGAAAACTGAAATTTAGTGTTTATATGTATAACTTGTTGGTATTTACCCTTTTATTTTCACTCCTAGAAACCAGTCATTGACTGCATGTCAGAAGATGGTTACAAGTTGGATCGAATCAAGGGTGAAATTGAGTTCCATAATGTGACCTTCTATTATCCCTCCAGACCAGATGTTAAGGTGAGCTCCAGTCTTTCCCAAAGAAACTGGGAAATCTCCTTCTGTGCTATTAATTGCTTCTGAAAACCTGCCAGAGGGTGAGCTATATATGGGTTGATTCTGACTTGACAGTACACAACAACAACAATTGTGATTTGAGTGAAAATGTATAGAATAAATTGATTTTCCATTCAATCATCTCCTTTACTCATAAAACATTTTGTTTGTTGCACTCCCTGCATTGTGACAGCACTCTTCCGGTTTCCTCCCTGCCATTTCCATTCATATTTTCTGGCCTCTCCCTTCCTTCCTTCTGAACCTTATCCCTGGGCAAATGCTGCCTTTTCGACCTTGTGCGGTTTATTGTTCTAAGCCATGAGTACCTCTGTGATAGTTCTTTTTCAGCCTGTTTATTGTTTGACTGACGTCACAGGGGTGAGTTCAGTTCCTGGCTCAAAGGTGACATTTTTATTTTAGCTGATTCATTCCAAGAGCCACAAATTACTTGTTGTTTTGAAGTTTGATTCAGCTTCCAGGAACAGGGAACTGAAGCACGTTTCTCTGGAAGTATCCGTGGGTGTTGTGACATTTTCAGGTGACACATGGCATTCCTTTATGATACTTATACGTGCAAATCCCTTTGATGGGAACACAATCTGACAACTCTTTCAGGTTAAGTCAACTGTAAGATGTTCTGTTGAAATGAGCCACAGGTCCTGCCATTCCAAGCATGTGTTAAGCTTCAAGGGAGTCTGCGCATTCAAGAAGTACATTTTCATTAAGCATTTCCTTAGTGACTTGGGCAGGCAGAACATGCTGAGTGAGTGGGATATGAAATGGTAAAGACAAGCTGATGGCTTTGTACTTTTTAAATTGTCATCTCTAAGTGCTCAAGGGTCACTCTATCAGTGCTTGTAGGAAGATAACATTGTGATGTGTGTTCACATATCTTTGTGCTAGGTGATCATCAGAGTACATGGTGAGAAAACAAAGATTTAGAGTTTCCTAGGACCTAATTAGCAAGTATCTTTAAAGGCATTTTACTCTAGGAAATTGGGATCTACTCAGACTGAATCTGCTGGCTTTGAAATGAAATTCATACTTCATTTTTAATAGACTGTCATTAGCCACACTCTCTTAATATTATTTCTGTTATCCTCACAGAGTTAAATTCAATGCTGTTAACATATTTGATTCTTATCCTACAGATATCCACTTACATGTTTGAAATATATCTTGGATTAATGTTGTATATCATGTATGTATATGTATACATATCTAATGCCATAATGCATACAACAGCACTTTGATTACTCTGAATGGTGAGGTAGCGCTCACACACAGTAAAGGAAAATTAAAACTTCCTATACATTGGATTTTGGAAGCAGGAGTGACATCCACTTCCTAAACAACATGCCTCTGAAAACTCTTATGAATTTTCATGAATGTCAAAAGTTGTAGAGGGGCTTCAGGCCTTTTGTTCATAGGGTCGCTATGAGTTGTGCTCGACTCAGACAAACAACAACAATATTTAGTCGATAAGGGCATGCTGGTAGCTTCACGATAAAAAGTCATGCTGCCAACTCAAAGGCAGTTGATTTTAGTCCACCAGTTGCTCTGCTGGAAAAAAATGCTCAGTCTCTTCCTATGTGATTTACAGCCTCTGAAAACCCACTGGAGGGTCAGTTATGAGTGGGTTTCTGACTTGACAACAACGAATTATTAAGCAGTAGATAGTGAAGAGTAACTCACAATAGTTGCCAAGAAATAATGATTGAAAAGAAGCAGATTCATTGAATTACTGTTTTACCTTCTAGTCTCAGTAACAATATTTTGGTTTAATAGTCCTCTCACTTTGGCTCATAAGTATTCTCCATCCATGCTATGGATAAGTGCTTAGCCCTATTATGCCCCATATGGGACTATTATAAAGGTAATATGCCCACTTAATGCCTGCCTGTCATGTGGATCTTATGGTCCAATATGTGGAAACTATTATACAAGCCTGACTCCTTGTGTGAAATGAAAGACATGTGATATAATGGACCTCAACATCCCTTACATACTTAGTGAAATAAAGTTAAATTTAAAATTTGTGCTTTATTGATGAAAATGTTGTTGCTGTTGTTGCGTGCCGTTGAGTCAAAACAGACCCATAGCTGACCCTCCAGTGGGTTTTCAGAGGCAGTTAATCACACAGGCGGAGATGACTGTGAATTCATTTCTTGTCTGCCTTCTAGACTTTCACCAGGATTCACTTTACCTTCCACAGTGCTTTGTACGCAGCAACATGCCACAAACATTTCATCAAATTCATTAAAACAATGTGTTCACACACAAGGTGAGAGTCTGCCAACTTAAAGTTTACAAATGATTTTACTCTAAATCCAGGGTAAGGAAATTAGTATTTTGCTTCTAACTATGTTTTCCTTTAACTAATAACAACAATCTCTATGCAATATCTTAGTATGTCAGTAGTGTCTGGCATTAGATTTTCGAGCATAATATTAAAAATTATCATTATTTATTTGCCTCAATGTTAATTTATATCATATTAGGGATTAGTCAGAGGCATCATGAGGGGTGGAGGTTTTGACTATGAATGCAACTCCAAGGACTAGTCTCTCCTGGCAACAATTCCCAAAGTATGTAAGATGGAGCTTCAAAATTCTGCCTCCACGAAACAATTGATTTCACCCTTTCCAGGGCATACCTATTTATTCTCTTGGCAGCCCACGGTATGTTCAATATTCATCTACACACCACAAGCCAAAGGCATTGATTATTCTTCTGTCATCTTTATTCACTGTCCAGCTCTCAGATGGATAGCAAGCAATTGAGAAGATCATGATCTGAGTCAGGTGCACCTTAGTCTCTAGACTTACATTGCTGCTCTTCACCACTCTGGAGAGATCCTTGACAGCAGATTTTCCTAACGCAACTCATCTTTTGATTTTCTGACTGCCGAGCTAAGAATGTTGATTGTGGATCCAAGCAAAATAAAATCATTAACAACCTCAATCTTTTCCTTCATGTATGATGATACTACCTACTGGCCTGGTGGTGAGAATCTTTATTTTCTTGATGTTGAGGTGCAATCCATATTGAAGGCTGCAGTCTATGTCAGGTCCTCCTCAATTTGGGGAAGCAAAGTTGTGTCATTTGTGTGACGTGGATCCCTCCAATCCAGATGCCACATTCTTCTTCACAAAGTCCAGCCTCATGGATAATCTATTCAGCATATAGATTGAAAAGGTATGGAGAAAGGACACATCCCTGATTTTCTTGATTTTGAATCACTCAGTGTTCCCCTGCTCTGTTCTGACAATAGCTTCTTGGTCTAGGTTTAGGTTTCACATGAGAAGGTTCTGGGATTCCCATTCTTCTCAATGTTAGCCACAATTTGTTGTGATCCACCCAGTCAGGTGCCTTTGCATTGTTGATAAAACACAAATAGAAATTCTTTTGATACTCTCTACTTTCAGCCATAATCCTTTTGACATCAGTAACGATAAACATAGTACTAAATCCAGCTTGTATTTCTGACAGTTCTCGGTCAATGTACTGTTTCTGTCATTTTTGGATTATCTTCAGCAAGATTTTGTTTGCATGTGATTTAAATGATATTGTTCAGTAATTTCCACATTCTGTAGGATCACTTTTTAGGAGGAGGGGATTGCAATGCTGCTTTTTACCCATAGGCCGCCAGATGTCCCCTGCCTTTTTTAGGAGGAACATGAAAACAAATATGTATCTCTTCCTGTCAATTAGCCTGGTAGCTGTCCTCCAGATTTTTTGGCACACCTGATGAGCACGCCCAAGGCTGCATCTGTTTGTTGAGCTATCTCAGTTTGCCTTTCAACAATTCCTGGTGCCTTATTTTTTGGCAGTTCCTTCAGAGCAGCTTGAACTTCTTCCTTTGTTACCATTGGTACTTGATCATATGCTACTTCCTGAAAAGGTTCTCTGTTAGCCAATTCTTTTTGGTGCAGTGACCCTTTGCATTCCTTCCATCTTCTTTTGATGCTTCCTGGATTATTCAGTCTTCTGTCCATAGCATCTTTAAGTATTGTAACTCACGACTTGAATTTGTTCTTACGTTCCTTCAGCTTAAGAAATGCTGAATGAATTTTTTCCCTTTTAATTTTCTGACTCCAGCTCTTTGACATTTCATTATAATACTTTGCTTTGTCTTCTTGAGCTGCCCTTTGAAATCTTCTGCTCAACTCTTTACCTTTTTCAAACTTGTTCCCTTTGTTTTGATTTTTTGGGTTTCTAGTGCAATATTCAGAGAATCCTCTGCTATTCATCTTGGTCTTTCCTTCATCCTCTGTCTCCAAAATGACATTTTGCTTTCTTCATGGATGATACTCTTTATATTATCCTGCAACTCATCTGGTCTTCATTCATTAGTGTTCAATGCCTCAAACCTCGTTTTTTTTTTCTTCTATAATTATATTTTATTAATTTTCATAAACATTTACAGAGATTTTGGATTTCCATTCATTCATTGTTGCACTATTCTCTCTACCCTCCTCCCAGTTTGTTCTTGTCCAAATGCCACAGTGCTTGTCAAAGCCAGTTCTGATTAATCTTCTTTGTCAGTGTGTCCTTTGCCATTCCCTATCACTCCTCCCTGAGAGAGACTTCACCCTGAGTCATAAGGAAAAGGGGATGGTGTATTCTCTTAGCCACTTCCTGCTGAAAAGGGATGCTGTGGGTTTCAGGGTGAAGATCCTCTCTCACTACTCTAAAGGGCCCCTTTGGCAGTAGGAAACACATAGACTATTATGGAGATTGATTTTGGAATTTAGATGCACTCTTATTGATTGTGCTTGGCCGTACATGTTCATATCCTTGAAGATGTATCATGGGGGTGTTGCAACCTAGAAGACACAAATTTGACTAACAAGTTATAAGTACATGAGTCAAAAATTATGGAAAAGTAAAAGAAAAGATTCTTTCATTGTTTTACAAACCCTCCCCCAGGTCCCCTCCACCATGTAGCCCTCACTCTAGCTCCTGTGATGACAGAAATACCTAGTTATATATCTCTTTTAAACAGTTTTCTCCCTCCTCTGTTTCAGTGCAGTATACATTATTGAACCCATCTTACTCAGTCTCTCCCCAACCCCAAGGACAGTCCCATTCTACAACAGTGGCATCATGTAATATTTGTCCTTTTGTGACTGGGATATTTCACTCAGCATAATGTTCTCCAGAGTCAACCATTTTGAATATCAAACCTCGTTTTGAGATGGTTTTTAAATTCAGGTGGGATAGACTCAAGTTCTTGTTTGGTTTTTGTGGATTTGTTTTCATTTTCGTTAGGTTCAATTTGAATGAGTAGTTGATAATCTGTTCCACAGTCAGCACATGGTCTAGTTTTCAAAACTGATAGTGAGCTTCTCCAGAGATTCTTTCCACAGATGTAATTAGTCTGATTCTGTGTAGTCCATCAAATGAGGTCCATGTGTATAGTTGCTGTTGTTTTTTTATAAAAGGTGTTTACAATGAAGAAATTATTGATTATGCAAAATGTGTAAGTCTATATCTAACCTCATTTCTGTCACCAAGTCCATATTTTCCAACTACTCGTCCTTCTTCCTTCTCCCAACTTTGGCATTCCAGTCACCCATCATTATTAATGAACCTTGAGCACATGTTTTATCAATTGCAGACTGCAAAAGTTGGTAGAAATCTATTTCTTCCTCTTTGACTTTAGTTGTTGATGCATATATTTGAGTGATAATGGTATTGACAGGTCTTATCTATGTACAGACATTATCCTATCATTCACAGAATTACACTTCAGAATGGACCTAGAATTGGTCTTTTTAACTATGAAAGCAACACCATTTCCATGTTTGGAAGAGTAGAGGGCCAGCGCAGAAGAGGAAGAAATGAGAGAGATGAGATGAGATGGTCACAGTGACTGTGGCAAGGGTCAAATGTGTCAGAGATGGTGAAGTTGGTTCAATATAGGGCAAGGTTCAGAACCATTATTCAAAGGGTCATAATAGGTCATATCAACTCAGTGGAACATCATCAACATCAATTAAATAATGAAGGAATGTCCGGGCCTACCAGGAGTTGGAAGAGACAAGGATATATTCTAATCTAGTGACTTCAGAGATCATGGCCTTGCTGACAACCTGAATCTGGAACAAAACATTTCTATTGCTTTAATGTTTTTTGTTCTGTTTTGTTCTTTTAAAAGAGGAGGCCTAAATGCTGAAACTCATCCTAAGTCGGTTTATTAATTTGTTGGTTACTGCTGGATGCCAATAGATACTTCTTTATGGTCTTAAGTCTCTCTCTCTCTCTCTCTCACACACACACATACACACACACACACACACACACACACACACACACACA